TAGAAGAGACTTTTTAAATAATTAAGATTTTATTTAATTATTAAAATTTTTAATTTTCTATATATTAAACTAAATTTAATAAAAAGTAAGCTTAATAGCTTATAAATCTAATTTTTATAATTTTATCATTGTATATAAAATAAAAAAATTAAATCTAGTAAATAAATTTCTAAAAATTTTCTAGATTTTAAATAAAGTCTACTAAGAGAAATTATTAATTTTAAGTTAAAAATAATTTATAAATATATTATTCTTAATAATAAGGAATCTCGTTAAAAAGAAAATCTAGTTTAAATTTTAAAATATACAAGATTATCTTAGCTTTAATACATATATTATATTAAGATCAAAGAATCCTAATAGTCAGGCTAATATAGAAAAAATTAATTAAATTATTTAAAAATTTATTTTAAAAAAGATTTATTTCTTAATCTATAGTATTATAAATATATACTGCAGAAGTTTTATACTTAGACATATATAAATCTAAATTTTAAAAGATTTTCTTATATTTATAAAATAAAGATCCAGAGATATAATAGTAAAAAATTATGAATTAATAAAAATAATAAGATTAAAAATATTAAACTATTGAAATAATTAATTATATTTATTTTAAAGATTAATAATATATTTTATTCTCTGAAATATTATATTAAATACTTATCAAGTTATAATATAATAATCTATTAACAGGACACTTTGGAAAGACTTAAATAGAAATATCATTATATTAAAAATTTTACTAGAGTAGATTAGAATATAATAAATCAGACCTTTAAATATTATCTCTAATTATACTTTAATTAATTTAATATTGATTATTAATTTATCTTTCCAGCTGTTGAATTTACTTGTAATAATATAAATAATATAATTATAAATTAATTATTATATAATATTTTTTATAACTTTTAATTAGACTTTTATATCAAATTTTGAAATAATTTTTAACGGCAGGAGGTCTTAATTATATAAAATGATATTAAAAAACCTAAAAAATAAGAAAATAATTATAAAAAATATAATAAATAACTATAGAAAAATAAAATTAACATTATAAGAAATATGAAAAACTATTTTATTTAAAGAAAAGAAATTTAATTAAGTTATTAATCTAGAATTTATAATTTAAGATATTAAAAAAAATTAGTTCTGAAATTTATAAAATCTCTTTAAATTTCTAAATATATTAGATTCTAAATATATTGTTTATATTTACTTAAAAAATGTAGACAGATTTATAATATACTCTATATTTTTCTGTTAAAACTGTAGAATATAGAAAGTAACTAGAAAAAATTATTTTTAATAGTAGATATAAATAATAAAGATAAATAAAATGTTAAAGAAGTTAAAGATTATTAATATTATAATAATTAAGATTATTATCTAATTAAGTAGAAAGACTAATCAAGTAAATATAATTAATAATCTTTTATTAAAAATATAATAAATACACAGGAAAATATTTAAGATTACTATATTAAAGATTATATTAGCTAGAAAAATAAAATAAAATACTATCAATTAATTAATTAAAACAGGCCCAGGTCTTAATAATAAATTGAAAATTTATAATTTTTTTTCAATATATTAATAAATATATCTTAGATACTGTTATAAAATAATAAATTTAAATTATATTTTTATATATTAAAAATTTTATTCATTATGATTTAATATAAATTCAGTCCCGTGGAATAATTATATTATTAAAAATCAAAGATTAAAATCTCTGATTTTTTTATAAGCTAGAAATAAATACAGAAAATAAATTAATTAAATTTGAAATTTTAAAAATTGTAAGATATTTATTAAAATTATTATTATTATCTAATATAACTTTATTAATAATATTAAAATATTAAATATAAGCTATCTTAATGATAATATTTAAATAAAATCTTAGAATTAAGATCTAGATTATATAATCTTCATTTTTTAATATTAAATAAAATAATAAATTATACTGATATACCTAGCACTGCCTGAAGGTAGTACCAGTTAAAAATAGAAAAATTAGTAATTTAATAATTTAATAATAAATAACTAAAAATAAATTATATTCTATTATATTTATTTATTAAAATATTCTTAATTAATTATTTATTTTAATTATCTATAAAATCTTTATATTTCAATAGTTCTCTTTATTTTCTTAAGATTGAATTAATAAGTATAGACTAACTCTATATAATTATATATAATAACTAGATTTAATATTTCTTTGAAAATAGTATATTTAATATTCTTATTTTAATATTTTATATTTATCAGTTCTATCTGTTACTTGAGAATAGTAGTAAGATTATAAATATTATTAAATTTTTTACTATTAATTTAATTAATATTAGTATTATATCCAGTATAATAAAAAAATTAAATAATATGTAATATAAGATATATCTTTCTCTTCTCAGAATACTAGTAATATAATATTAAAATATAAGTATTCTAATAATAATTAATATTATGAAAAACTCTTTCCGTGATATTAAAGTTAATATTAACAGTATAAAGATAATATTTAAAAAAATTCTATTTAATAAATTATTCTTATAATATATAAATCTTCTTCTTAGAAGCTGCTTTGGAAGATATATTAAAGAATTTTATATAAAATATATAATCTAAGAATAAATAAAGCAAGAAATAAATATAAAAAAAATAATTAACTATTAAGTAATTAATAAATAATAATAAAAATAATAAAAATTACATGATATAATACTAAGAAGTAAATGAAATAATTATAAATAATTAAAAAAATAATAATCCTGGGATAAAAGAAAAAGAGAAAGAAGAGTAATATAAAAAATCTTTTTATTTATATTTTTTTATAATAGATCTACCCATGCAAACATAATTGAATACTTATAAAATTATATAGAAATAATATATAATTTTATTTTTATTATATACTCTGTAAGTTCTTTATCTTTTATTATCAGATTTCTATCTTTCTAAATCAGAAATTTATAAGATTATTTTTGATACCTGAGCCAGGTGACTTGTTCCAGTAAAAAAGAATATTATTTATAATAAAATAATCTAATTCCCAGAGCAAAGGCTATTAGAATAATATATTAAAATAATTATAAAAAATATAAAATTATTAATAAAGGTTCTATATTTTCCTGATATTTATAAGATACTGATTTCTTTGTAATAAGCTACTGATCTTTTAAGGATTAGTTTATTTTATAGATATAGACTATCTTTATTATTATCAGATAAATATATGGTGTTTAGTAGTTGATTCCTTATCTAGTCAACAGGCCTTCTACCCTGACAAGTAGATCCTATCACACATTTCTTTTGCGATTCGCGATAGATTAAGAAAGGAAATAAAATAATATTCCAGCTGTATTATCAGACTTAAATTATAAGAAAAATAACAATATCCTGGCTCTCTACCAGTAATATACTACTAAAAAAATAAAAATGTTTATTTTTGTTTTTATTATGATATAACTAAATATATAAAAATGAATAACTAGAAAGACTATATAATTAATAACAAGATTTCTCTAATTGAGATTATAATAATAAAATTATATAATTTATTAATTATCTAGAAGAATTATAATCTTATATACAGCAGCCCGATCCAGCAGCTTAAGAATATTAAAAATATATTTAAAAAATAAACTGCTCAAAATATTTAGAATACTAAAAAAATAATAAATATAATATTTCTATATTTGACAGAAATAAGAATTTTTATATTTAGATACTTATAACTCCACAGGATTAATTGGTTAAAAGAATAAGAATTATATCACTATATTCCCTGTGTAAAGTACTAATCAATAATATTATTTATAAACTTATAAAATATCATTTGACTGTTGTCCCGTCGTGAAGACTTGCCTACTAGACACTAAGATGCTTTTGTTAAGGCCGGAAAGCTCAATCTTTAGTATATCATGTGAGAAACGCTTTTGAGATTTTCTAGATTTTCTTTCATTGGGCCTGGCACTTGCATGCATTCAGCAGCCTGCACGTTGTACAGTCAGTTTCTACTAATTTCTTGTGTTGACTCGTCAAAAATGCGGGTGAATTCACCCACTCTAAATTGATCTAAGGAGAGTGATCACTCGAAGCTCAATAGACGTTCTTTCATCTCTCCATCTGCTTGGGCTGCATGCCCAGGGATGATACTATCTTCGCTCCACCTTCATCAAGCTTGGACCGGCCAAGAACAATTTGTGTCGCATGTCGGGTACAAAGATCACTGGCTATGGGGGAACGATAACCCGGTGATTGCCTCAAGAAGAGAAGATTTGCCGCTCGATTGATCACCTACAACAACGAGCTTTAAAGGCAATAGTAACAGCTCACATACGGGTTCATGCTCTCTTACCTGAGGAAGGGAGACTCCCTCGCTAACTCCGAGTTAACCAAGTTTCTCGATAATCCCTAGAACCCGAACTCGACTGTCATTGTCAATGCTGTCAATTCTAAATTTCAGAGTAACATTACCCTGCCCGAGATACATGCTGTATCTGTAAGTGCCGCATACCTTCTTTTCTGGTGCACGATGCTCCATTTGCATTTGTGGAAGGAACTAAGAGCGTGATGCTGAACACTATGTCCATAATGCTTTGAGTGGCGGCAAACGAACTCCATTTCCTCCGAGGTCTATTGGGTGTTATTGTTGGATATTCTCCTTACTTCGATACTTAATACTTCATACCAAGTTCGAGCCGAGAGATTGTCACAGGGACCAGTTCGATTCTCAGATGATATTCGAAGTTGTGTTCTAGTGCGCTGGATTCTTACGGTCGGGATCGTATGTGCCGTGCGCCGTCAAGTCACAGATCCCTGCATACAGCTACCAATGGCTTTCGCTGATACTATGCATGGGTGCTGTGAGAATTGGGTGACGGTCGGGCAGAAACTTAAAAAAAGCGAGAACCCCTACTGATCTTCGGGGTGACCTTTGGGAAAACAACAAGTCAAGCACACTCGCTGACTGCAATTTTGACTTCAGAATGCAGAAATCAGTATCTTTTTCCTGTCCAGGATGCGAGAGTGGAGGGTTCCGCAGCTTGGTGGAGGCTCAGAAGCACTTTGAGGAGCAATCTCACTCTGTGCGGTGTACCGTCTGCCAAAAGGCATTCGGCAGCGGCATGTCAGTCATACAGCATTATCAAAAGCACGTCAAAGCTCGGGAAGCTCCAAGCAATACGAAAAAGCCCATTCAGGAGAGAAAGGCATTTAACCAGCATTCAGCAGGTCCAACAATAACATCGCCATCACCTCTCCGAAATGGCCAAATGTACTTTCAAGAAACTCTACTGACAGCTGTCGGAAATATAATGCATTTCGGAGAGGAGCGTGATCCGATCAACTTGCCCTTTCAATTGCCTTTGATCGCATCGGGTGTAGCTGATGCTAATGGTAACAACCCTCTCAATGTTTGCTCCCTTGTGCAGTCGCCCATGCGACTAAGTTGAACTACATAAAGACTTACTTGGTATCCGGGAAACTCTTGGCTAGGAATCGATTTCAACACAAACACCAACGTCGTTCTGCATCCTCTTGAACAGTGTCTGATTCTGAGGTATCTGCGTTCCAATTGCCATTCAGAGAGCCGCCTTCGGAGAGAAGGATACATACTAGGGCCAGTCAAAGTAAGGAATAAAGACTTCCCACGGAAGGGGTCCATTCCCACTTATCAATTTCGCGAAACGCCGTCTGCGGAACAGCCTGGATTCAAGAGACATGCCATCGCACTCGATTGTGAGATGGTCGGTGTCAAAGACAATCGGCAAACTCTCGCGTTCATAAGTGCCATTGACTTTTTGACTGGCGATGTTCTCATTAGCCGCTACGTAGCGCCATCCGAGGAGGTCATTGACTGGAGATCAAAAATTACCGGAATAACCCAAGATGTCATGACAAGCGCCACGATAGCTGGCGCTGCATTCAGAGATTGGCGAGAAGCGCGCGAGAATTTATGGCAATTTGCCGATACATCCACTGTTTTCGTTGGCCAATCCCTCAATTATGACCTTGAGGTTCTGGGAATCTGTCACAACAAAATTGTTGACTCCGCCATTTTGACTGCGGAGGCTGTATTCCCAGCCACTGGCCCCACGGAGAGTTTACCTCGCGCTTGGAGCTTGAAGGCCGTGGCCAAAACTCTTTTGGCTTTGGAGATTCAGAGCGGAGATCGTGCGCACAGTGCTTTGGAAGACGCATATGCGGTACGCGACGTGATCATATTCTGCATCAGAAACCCGGAACAGTTAAAGTCATGGGCAGAGCTTCGACGGAAAGAAGAGGGACGAAAGGGCAAAAAAGGCCGGCGCAAGAGCAAGGCCAAACGAAATCCGACCACGTCGTCTACTCAAGATATCCAGCATAAAACTCGGGTGTTAAAGAATGAGTGTGAATACGATATTGATGACGATGACGAATTTTGCTTGTCCGAGTATGCTAGGGATGCTGGCTGGCCAGACGGGTGGGATCCTTGGTCTGATTGATTCAACTTCCTTTCAAATGTCCAAACAGAATACGAAAATTTGGTATCCTATCGGAGAAGGGAGGCAGCTTTCCATACATCTTACTATTTGAAAAAGAATAAAACGTGATCTGAAAATTGTGAACGCAGGTCTGTCCGTCAGCCCCTATCAAGCCAGGTAGCAGATGTAATATGTCGTTCCATCACGTAAGTCATGGAAACATCTATACGTCATCAGGACACTTCCGGTACATGTAAAAGATGACAAACGGTGAGAATTGTCCGGTCGTGTGTGTTGAGGCTTGGGCGATTGTTGGTCAAGAGTCGTCCTCAGATTTTTATCATGGTGGCTCCGTAAATTCTGCGTAAGGCTGCTTTTCTTTTTTTTAAATGAGCGTTTTCCTAGCCCCTCTTGTCATTGAACGGTCCAAAATGCTGTTTGTGGGGCAAGTTATCTGAGGAGGTTCTAACGCGCGTTGCTGTAAGCCGCAGAATCCAGACTTTCTAATATGAGCGCAAACGCAATACCATTGAAATTAGCCTCGGCAATATCTTGCGGAAGAAAACAGGAAGCCAATTGAAAACTTGAAATCGTCTTCAGAACATAGCTCAAGCTATGGATACGTTACGCTCATACATCGCCTTCGACTTAGATAGTTCTGTTCTTCGTGCTTAATACTATTATTTTGTAAATAACTATATATTTAGAAACTTAGTAGCAATACTAATTTGTACTTACTTATAAACAGTTATAGAGTATTATTTACTCTTATTTCTCTTCTTCTATCTAAGACTAGTTATTCTTAGATAATTATCAGCCTGATACCTCCTTGACCCAGTTTAACAGTATATATATCAGTAAAGCTAAGCTAATCAGGACAGGGAAGCGATCCTAAGGTTTGACACATCTCTCCTGAGCACAAGTTGATCTTGCCCCGGGTCACTGCTCCTTGTCTTACTTCAACATACAGGAGCCATATGTGATATGCTGAAAACCTAAATCATTGAAATGTTGAGTGTTAGATGGTGTAAGAAGAAGAACCCCAAATGAACCCGAAAGTTAAATATTCCGTATCACCAATCGTCAAATCATTTTGGCCAACCTTATTATGCAAAACTTACTTAATTAGTGAACCCAACCATGTTTTCACTACCACCCATGCAGTGGATAGCGAGTCTAGACTATATCTAATTTCCAAGTCCGGAGGCTAATCATGTCATGCGTCAGCCACCCCGACCAGATCTCAAATGTCACGAGATAGACGCCAATCATTATAAGTAAAGAGTGGACCACATCACAACTCGGACAAGCAAGGAAGTACTAAGAGCTTAGAGTCTTTGTCCTATTGCCTACTCTGACCTTTCATAGTGAATATCTTTATCTAATGGCACTATCATCACATCTAGCCAAGAAACACGAATTCCACCCTGCAGGTGCTGGCGACTTGCGAAGTCCGTGCCCTGTGCTTAACGCACTTGCGAACCACGGTATATTATCCCGCGATGGCCGTAATATTACGGCTAATCAGCTGAAGGACGCCCTCAAGCATATTGGTGTGGGCATCGACATCAGGCTCGGCCTTGTCAATTCTGCGTATGCTGTCCACGACGAGCATTCGCATCGTGGCCTTCGCAACCCAGAACAGGTAGACGACTCCGGAATACCTGTCCTAAATCTGGATCAAACTGGTCGGCCTCATGGAATAGAACACGACGTGTCTCTTTCTAGAGAAGATCGCGCCTTAGGTGACTGTATCAGTCCTCATCCTGGATTAGTTGAAGGCTTTCTCGGGTATCCACAGCAAGACTTCTTCACCGTCTCCCATCTTGGGAGGTTTCGCAAGAAGCGGTATATCGAGCAAAATGCAAAAAATGAGATTCTAGACTTTGGCTACAGGGCTCACATAGTGGCCTGCGCTGAAGCTGCTCTATTCCAGGGCGTATTCGGTGAAGGTGTCTTCCGTCGGTTGCCGGTTAAGTACGCGAAAGCCGTTTTCCAAGAGGAACGTTTACCATTCAATGAGGGCTGGACGCCGCGCTGGTTTGCATTGATGGTTCCTGAGTTGGCTATGTTAGTTCTCATAATCTTGTATTTTGCTTCCTAATTTGACTTATTCTTGGTTTTGAAGCGCATAGGGCTCTAGCAATAAATTTACTCTTTCCGATGAACGTCCTAGATCTTGCATGAAAGGACCAAAAGACAACCGTAGTTCTTTTCAAAACGAACTTGCGCTTGACGCAACATTAGTCAAAGCGGCTAAAAGGATGCTGTCTCGCCAAGAAATATTTTGAATGCGTTATGTAGTCAAGGTGACCTAGACATTCTGGGCATGATATTTCCCCCAGTTCTTCACTGCAATATGAAAGTAGTTCGTAACTCCTACAACAGGCGCTTAGCTAACCAAGCCATCACTTGAAGCCTGACAATTCCAGACAACAGGAAGATTACCAAACGTAGAAGCATAGTTAGATTTACCCATCTTCTTTTCTCATTAATATATATATCCACAGCTAGAAATAGCCCTCTCACCATAGCTCAGAGTCAAAAGATGTCTAGATAATAGTGAAGGCTCTATTTCTTGCATAGTTAGTAGATAAACTTGATAATACTATTGATATTGATAATACTATTGAAATAGCCAAGCACTGTAATGTTACCACAAATATTTAACAATCTCAGTGATCAAACTATCCATATTGCCACCCGTTTCCGCCTCCGCGGCAAGCAACATATGTAAACCAATAGGTAGAATTTAGGGGTATAACAAGAATGAAGAGACATTTGAATCACTGTACTTCTACTGCCGCCAACAGGGACCCTACATTCAACAGTAGATGCTTTGAATATAATGCACACCTCCTACCCCTCACCACTTTGTTCATCTTGCCAACCGGTGATCCAAGTTCCAGGATCACATCTGCCCACAGGAAGCTTTTCTATACGAGGGACTCGTGAATAAAGCTTCTCATCCCGAGAGGCTTTCCGTTTGCGGCCGCGCCTCTGATGTGTTAGACATACATCACATATATCTGGAGCTTGGGTTCAGTATCACACGATATACATCCATAGTATCGGGCTGTACAGCGAGTCTCTGACACGGGGGTTTAGAGTTTTGCAGAGTATTTCTCTGACTAACTTCTGGTCTCCACCAGCCATTCTATGGCTAAACCAACGAGAGCCCCATCTGGGGGAATCATAGCTCCGGTTCGTTACTTGCTATTTACCATTATTTCTCCTCTAGGCTCATCAATTTTAGAATCATTCACTCAGCTGTTGCTTAGGCATTTTATGGTCGGAATGTTGAATAGATTAGGCCAGACCTATCAGAGATCAGGGCTTTATATCAGAGAAATGCCATGTTATTGATTATTCCTGCATATCTGCCACCAATCACCACTATGTATAATGTAACAGCAATCGCTATACCTCATTATTAAGTAATATAAATAAATAGTCTATAAGAGATATTCTATGATGATTATTAGTATTATAAATAAAGTTCATAAAAGTCTTTCCCGGAGAGAAGTCGGCCACCAGTAGTCAGACAGCATTTACCTGCCTTCGTCAAGCTGGTGATCTTCTTGCTAGACCATTTGACGTCACTGCCAATCAGGTGGCTCCAAAAGTAGCGTAGAGGAATGTAGAAGACGAGCATCCAAAAGCATAGGACAGTGGTGATAAAACCCCCGGTCGCAAACAGCACGTATAGGATATACCGGTACACTTTGGTGTTCGCAATGCGGAGGGGAGTCTAGATGAATCAAAGCTTTATGAAGTAGGTGGCGATGAAGTACAGCAACAGACAGATGAAACGTGCAGTAGTACCACTAGTCAATCGGTGCCGTGGCATCGATTGGCAGCGCCGGCGGTGATATCATCCCAAAATATACAACCCTGATAGTGAATCCGCGAAAGAATCACAGTCCGACGCAAATGCAGGCAAGAGCGACAAGGACAATGCATAGTGTCGCGTACGTCACAGGGTTGTATGGCATGTTCGTCCTTGTGAACGGGCATCTTCGGGTGCATATAGGAATCAGGTATGATTTCGACAGGTGGAGAAACGACAGGGCTAATATGAAGCTTGAGGGTGGACAGGGCTGAGCGCAGCGATGAGCGCAAGGCATTAAATCAGGGGTTTCCTGAGAACGTGATAAGGGTTTGATCTATATCAGAAGCATTGGAGACTCCGGATAAAATTAACAGGATCATCTTGTGCGATGACGAGAGTATGAGGGGCGAATACGAACACCAGGGTGAACAGGAATGAGTCCAAAGCGCCGAATGAGGGATTTCTGAGACGGTGAGAACGTTCGAGACTCCCTCCTCCCCCATGATATCCCCAGGTGGAGTGAAGAGGGCCTCTGGCAGTTGAGCCACAGCTCGATCAAATACGGCGGAATCCAGAGGGGAGGTTGAATTCCGCTTCTTTCTCGGTGCCCCTGTATTAAAACGGTAGGGACTGTCCGAAGCTTGCGACGGCTAAATCTCTACTTTGGGAGATCTATGGTCGAGAAACACGAGGCTCCTGGCGCGATTCGCGACATTGAGGCCTTCCACCTCGCTACTTCTGCTCCAGCCTGCTCTTGGCTCGATGACAGCGTCCGACTGGGTTTGCTTGCTGCGATCGCCGGCTTTGCCTTTCCGGCTCCGCTCCTGGCCATCATCAACCAGGACATTGGCCCTAGCGCCGACATCTCCTGGGTGTCGCTGACCTACACGCTGACGATTGCGGTTGGTCTTACCCTGATCGGCCGCATCACAGATATTTTTGGGAGGCGATACATCTTCATCGGCGGCGGTGTCCTCGGAACCGTTGGAAGTATCGTATGCGCGAGAGCGGACAGCGTCAACACCTTGATCGGAGGCATGACATTGATCGGACTGGCTGCATCGACTCAGGTATCTTACTTCTACGTGGTGGCAGAGCTTGTGCCGATGAAATACCGCTTCGCAGCCAACAGCCTCATGTACGTCTTCACGACGCCGGGCGGTGCCTTTGCGCCTGCCATCGGCGAGAGTTTGGTCCGCACCACCTTTGTGGGCTGGCGGGGAGTGTTTTAGGTCCTGATCGCCATTAATGCCGTTGCGTTACTGTGCATCACTTTGTTCTACTGGCCACTCACCTTCCGGGAGAAGCATGGCAGCCAGCGAAAATGGGCCTACATTCATCTGTTCGACTATTTCGGAACCCTCCTGTTCATGTCCGGCCTGACACTCTTTCTCATGGGCCTCTTCTAGAATGGCCCTCGATACCCATGGTAGTCCTCCTATGTGGTCGCGACCATTGTCGTCAGCAGATTCTCATTTATCACATTTATCCTATGGGAGTGGTATGGTCCAAACTGGCAGCCGCTCGTTCCGATGCGTATGTTGCGAAATGTGCAATAGACGGCGGCGGTCATCAGCTCGGGGCTTGGTACAAGCCTCTACTATGGCCTTACCGTCATCTGGCCTCAATGGTATCCCTCATTTATTCCTCTGGGATTCTGTCCATGACAGCTTGCTCTACTCGCTCGTCGGGGCCGGCTGGCTATGTGGCGAGATCATCTCGGGATTTGCGGCCGTGGGCATTTGTAAGATCAAATACCAGAGCATTGTAATCCTTGCGATTACGGGGATCCTGTATGCCTGTGTCGTGATGTGCACCGTGGATTCACGCGATCAAGCCTGTTAGTTAGTGGCCTTTGGCACGTTCTTCGCTGGATTGGTGGAGGGGCCATCCCTTACAATTACGACCCTCGCACGAGGCGATCAGGATGAACTGGGCACTGGCTGTGGGTTCAGTGGGTTGATTCGCTTTTCCATCACAACCATCGTCACGGCGATCTACAACGTCATTATTACTACCCGGTCGGCGGATACTATCCCGACAGAGATTAGGAAGGTATTGGATAACAGTAGCCTGTCTCCCGAAGCCATACACATCCTAATTACCGCCCTGTCAGCTGCTCAGGCTCTAACCACCATGGTGGGGGTTATCCCAGAGCTCGGGACTAGAGCTCTTCAAGCCTTCAAGGAGGCTAATATTCAGGTATACCATACAGTTTATTCAGTACAATCGCAGTTACAGGACTCAGGCTGGTGGCCACCATGTTACTGCCCGATGTCGACTTGTTGATGAGTGAGGAGGTCACTATCACTCTGAGCCGGACGAAAACACCCGCCGTCGATGGCGATAACAACGCATCGAACCACCTAATATGTGCACGTAAACTTTTAAGTATAAAATATCAAGCCAAGTTAACTGAAGCCAGACTTTAGCGCGTTCTTCCACAATAAAAGAAACATCATGTATAAAGAAAGATAAATTATCGGATATGGAGGAGGAGTTGGGGGAGGTGGGGGAGAGAAGACGAAATTTTACAGCTAATTCCACATAGTGATTTCGGCATATTATTATATACAGGATTAGGAAAGTCATAAATACTTCTCTCAGCTCCCTCACACTGCCCCCTGTATCTAGACCAGCCATTCTTCTCTTCATGACACCTCACACAATCTCCATCCTTGTCTACAAGGCTCCCCACATTATGGCAGACCACTTTTAATTACAGTATAAGACCACGAATGTTCCTCTCATGTTGACCCTTGGCAATTCAGGCAGCCGCCCGCTGTTACTGTTAATAATGGCTCAAAACATAACCCTGATTGGGATACTACTCTTACCATAATACCCTTTGTGACAAGACCGCGGCGGACCGATTCAATGCCCTCCTGAACAAGCCTGGCAATAATACGCTGGTCGATGACGACTCAGTGCGGTTCCTCAATATTACCGACACTCACTTCGCTGTTCTCGAGATAGAGGGCCTTATGACTTTATGACCTGTTATTTAGTAGTTCTTTTCTTCTTGTAATTTACTTCCAGGTTCTTAAGACTGTTTTTCTATTTTTCAATAAATACAATAAAATATGTTATAATTAAATCCGAATTTTAGTGAGGAACACCTTACTCGATAAATATAATTCAATATAAAAAATTATAAGATATTTTTTTATTATTCTATATATAAAAATAAGATGATCCAAATATGATTAGAATTATTACTATTACTATGATCATCCCTATTAGATACCTTTTTGTGATGTATTTACCCTCTGGGACGCTTCCGAGATGAATAGTGGAGATGAGAACGTAAACGAAGAAAGCTCAGTCAAATCTCCCATGGGTACTTTGTTTATACACCTGAAACCCCCCACGTTCTCTATTCTTGTACTACAGATCGATGACATATGTTATAAGCTCTTTTAACAGGATTGGTACATTATATATATACAAGGAGGTCACCGTAAACTGTTCTGGAGGGAGCGAATTGAATAGATATATTATAACTGTCAATACGCATCCTAGCCGGGGTCCGGGAAAACTTGCACATTGATTCCAACCTGCCATCATGTTAACGCTGATAACACTCACATGGCCGTCGGACTTCTTTATACCCATCCTCATTCCAGATCAGCCTCATCTATCTGATATAACTCCCTTCCTAGCTCCCCATTCAGTCCATACTTCTCACCAGTCATTCCGTCCTCCCATAATTGAGAAGGAAGCGACAATTCTTCCCATTCAACAGTAACATCAGCAAATGTCTGCTCACTGAATTCTATCCGGGTCTCTTGGACGATATTCGTCTTCCCGTCGTGATAGATTAACCGTAGCATGTCCGTTTCAAACGCTTCCTGATCCGCAATAGCAAAGTAGCCCTTCGAAGATGTTCGCCGAAGGAATGCGCTCTCTCGTTCAATATACTTATCACGATCCGCCCTCCATTCGTCACTCTGTTTGAGGGTTGGGAGTTTATTCTTGAAAGTCTGTCTATCCCGTGAGATATGTTCTGGGTTCGGCAGGCGGCTATAACCATCTAAAGGGCCGGCTAACTCTGGCAAGATATCGAAAACTCGCCACCACTGATCGCCAAAATTGAAGAGTTCGGGATTATCAAGAAGGGCCCACCAGGCTATATCCTCCTCATCGAGCTCATCGGACCCTACTAATTCGGTGATCTTGTCGTTGTCATCGGCATTATAGTGAGTGCGCAACAAAATCAACTGATTGATATCACTCCCCCAAATCCTCCACGCTATCTTCCGCAGACTGTCAGAGCGCCAGGGGTGGAGGATAGTGTCAATTTCATGTGCCTTAGGATAACGTGACGGTGTTTCGTAAGTCTCCGAGGCATGATAAGTAGGGTCCAGTTCCCCCGGAATCTCATCTAGATCTAAGAACCGGTGGATAAGTCGGAGGCGCTGGTCTCCAGTGGGCTCAGATGAGGAGTGATCCCAGTGTTTCTTAGACACAGGACATTAGCCACGCTTGGCCTTCTATTACCTGGGGAAACAACAATAGTGGCGCAGAACACTCACGATCAAGTACTGCTCGACGGGTAACTGGCCCCAGTGCGGAAGGTATGCCTCTTGCATCAGTCCAGGCAAAGAATGCACTGTCATGGGCAATAAAACATATTTCTAGGCGCTAAATGGAAGTACCCTGCCTATCCAGCGCGGGAAAATGACAGGACGCAGTGTCGCAACTCACCTGGCCCACGCTAATTTCTCATCTGACCAGGCAAACCTTTTAGGATTAAGTCACATGATCAGGCTTAGACCTCACTTACGAAAAAGAAAAGATAGACTTGTATTGTGGTTACAAAATGAATTCGGTTTTTAAAGAATTTTGATATAATTCTTTAATTTATAATAAACTGGTTATAATTCTTCTCTATAATCTCTTTGTAAGTGACAAAGTCACAAAGTGTCGTATAATATCCTGGCCATTAACTAAGTACTTCATTATATATGATCAGCTCACAGTTATATTACTGAATATATTCACTTTGTTTCGAGATTTGCTGCATCTAGTTCTTTAATCTGTCATTCTGTTGAATTATGATTAGCGACCTAAACTTAAGAAACAAACTTCATTATATAGAGACAACATGTTTTTATTTTATATGTTAAAAATTAGAGTCCTATAGATTCAGCATGACTGGGATTATTGCTAATACCATGATTATCCCTAAATATAATAGACAGGAGGGTGTATTGCGGGTGTTCAATTCGGAAGTGCAGTGCATTCCACATACCCGGAGACTCCTACAGGACTAGCTATTGGGCCGAACAGCAAACCTCAATTCAGAGGTATAAATATAGCACTGGAATTGATACTCCCCTAATGGACCCACACTCCCCGCCTTGTGAGAAGGGACGGCTCTATCAGACTGGGGACTTTTGAGTTCCTCCGAGGTTCCACCGCAACAAGAACTTTGGAACAGTAGACAGGATTCACCCATGGACATATATTTTCGCCGGAGGATTAATGCCTCGGGAATAGATAATTTGAGAGGTATGATCATATCTTCTGACATTGGTAGAATGCAAGATGCAGTATAAACTTTTGTGGAAGATAAGATGTTTCACGAGCCAGGATCATAGTGAGATCTTCCGAACTCAGCCTGGTCATTATATATTTAAACCGAGATTCAATGGCCATCCCGTTCTTTGAATCAGATTCCATTGGAGCGGGCATTTACTAAACAAATGTATCCGTTATTGGGCACAACTTCAGCTACATCTTCACTAACGTTCTTCTGTATGGCATTGAGGATGCTATCATCCATCACGACTATAGCTAGCTGATTGATTGTGACTGCCCAGTCCTTGCCCAAACATTGAGGTCTTAGTATAGTGGCTACCTGTGGCATGGCTACAGTACTGATTTTTAACTTCAACAGCTGCTAAGACCTGGAGATCTGGAGAGGATAAATCTTCCATTTTCCATACTTAGCCTCCTTCTGACTTTATGAGAGGGGTGTAAAACGATGAACGAATTAATTATTCTCCAAAGTTATCGCATGGTTCATCCATGACACTGAGAGTACCGAAAAACACTCGTCTAAAGCTCCAGTCGGTATTTTCTACAGCAACAAAAGGGGCAAGACCGTGCCGAAATCCTCAATATAAGCCTAACCCAACCCATATATCAGGGGGTTTGACCGGATGTCAATTAAAGTAATGAGATACAATGATCATGTGGAGTGCCTACGACGACAGCTTATACATCA